CCAGGTCGCGTGCCGAGCCTGCCTTTCTAAAGCGGTAAAAGCGGACATCTTACCGTGACATCTGTACTAGACTCTACGGCTACTCTACGTGGACAGCTCTCACGTGGACTGGGACCTTTTAGAATTCTCGGAGCTGTCCTTCATCGATCGTCAAGATCCCACCCTCCCTCTCGAGATAACACGAGAGATTCACAAGCCGCTCTCGATATCCGCTTGCGTAACTTTTACATCGGTAGCCGGTAGCATAACGGTATCCAGTCGCGCTGCTTCGCAGAGCGCCCCATAGCCGCGATTAGAATTAACGTTTCTTCTTCGAGCGCGCGCGCTCGGTCGGTTTTCAGTAGCAGCTGCCGTTGTACGCGCGCGCGAGCGGCCACGGCGGAGCTCTCGGTGCTTCGAGAATCGCAAACGGAAAAACTCCGCTTTCCCCACGACCGCGAGAACGCCGCGGGAATAAATCGACGAAGCGGGCAATTTCGTTCGGTTGCATTCTGCTAGATCGCCGCGCGTGATACGTCGGATTTGGAAAGCTTCGGCGGCTCGCTGGAGCTTCACAATTGCGGTAAATACCCTCCGATAATGTCGCAATTCGCGCTATAGATTATAAAGTGTTTTAGAAAAAAAAAAAAAAAAAAAAATAAATCATCGAAATCGGCATAAAGAATGGGTTTATCCTTCGTTTTTGTTTTTTGTTTTTTTCCTCACGGTGATAGACAATAAGATGCAACGGAAGGCATTTTTTCGCAGGAAATTGTATTTCCTCGAAGCTGTTCGAGTGTTACGTTTCTACGCGTATCATCTTGAACGCAATTAATGTAATTATTGTTTTCGCGTTGCAGTACATCATTATTGATGCCGCGATTGCTAAAAGTTCCCTACATTTCCTGGTATATTTCCACGCCCGACTTTTCTCCTAGATCGTCGGACTAGATTCCCAACGTGGAAAAACATGCACATGCAAAGTCGGCAAGATCCTAAACGGGCGAGATAATATTACAGTAGCGCGTGTCTATGTATTAAATCTCGCAAAAGAAATATCGGTCACTGACTTTCGCTCCGTTCAACATAAGAATATTCTTGCTTCTGTTGTGCATCACCTCGTATTTCGCCTAACTGTAATCCGTATTTCTTGCTTTGTCCATTTTTAAATGGCATTATTATTATAGGTCAAATCGTCCGCAATCTGAAAACTTTCCGTCTTTTTTTTTCTTAATTTTCATATTTGTATTTTTAATAAATAAACTCATCGAAAATGGGATTTGATTGATGCAACAGCTGCAAACATTTGAAATTAAACAAGGAACAAGTTTCCATTATACTTCGTGGCGAATTAGAAAAAGGAGAAGAAGAAATAGTATTGCACTTCCGCAATTTATTTAACGGAACGGTTTAGGATCATTAAACGTCAGCGGTAATTTAATTAATAACAAGTTTATTGGGGAGGGGAGAGGAGAGGGAAAGTTGACGTCAAACTTTATTATACATATTTCAAAAGCCAATAACACAAAACTCGATTGTGTCAATCTTCTCATTGTGTTTCGCAGGCGGTAACTGGTGTGAAAACGCACAGCGCCTTTTTCGCGACGCGGTTCCTTTTCCGGCCTCGGCGATACGTGCCGTAGGAAGACGGTGCAGAGCCGATGATCTCCCACGACATATGGCAATCCTAATAAAGCACGCTTTCGTATCCGCCTACGCGTCACGATTAACAATTAATGACAACGGCGTAACGAATGCCATGCGGCGACTCACTCCTCCTCCTCCTCCGGAGTGCCGTCGCGCTTAGGAAAGTGCGTCATGCTGTTCGTCGATGTTCGTCGCGCACGTGCAGGTAGCCGAGAGTCCCAATTATTCCGGAATAACGGACAACCTAGGAAAGAGTATGCGTGTGCGTGTGTACGCGATATACACGCGTGCGAGCTCGCGATCGGGACGTACCACACAGGATGGATGAGAAGCGTATGCGTGTGCATTTCGAAAAATCGTCGCACGCCTGTTACTCCGACGCGTTTATCGTCTAACGGTGACTAAACCTCCGGACGTACAATACACGCGTTTCTATCGCGCTACCAAGCGTCTCGAGCTTATCGAATCTATTATTTACACCCGCGCTCTTTATGTTCTCCCGCAAGTTTTTCTGCAATTTTTCGAAAAGAAATTGTGGGGGCTTATCGGGGGCTTATCTCCATGGATATGAAAAATAATTTGTTGAATCATATCGTACCGATATATACGTGTGTAATTAATCACGTCGATATAATTAACTCGCGAAATTTTTCGATTTGACTCATCAGTGAGTTGGCTGCTTTTATATAAGCCTCGCCGCACGAGCTACCAGCGCAAATGTGAATACAAAAGGATCTTAGTATCGTAGCACGTAAGTGCGATAATTCCGCGGGAACACTATCCATCAACGTTTGATCTGGGAGAAATAGTGGCGCGATGCGAATGGTCCAATTATCCCCGCTCCCCGCGCGACGTAATGCATCCTTCCTTTGTACTACGTGGCGCGTGTATATTCCCACGTTTTCACTGGCCGCGGCGAGGACAAAGGCCAGGTTTCACGATGGTGACCGAAAACGAGAGTCTACTTGGAAATGAGCAACGTGGAAAACAATACACTATCGTATTTCAAGCGATTCATCTTTCGCCGTGAAACGCCGGACGTTTGTCTCTAAAATAGCGTCCGTGACGTAGTCATATTAGTGAAACAAGTCCCGGACATTCGTGCCACACGCGACGTTTCAATTCCAGTAGTTTTAAGTTTAATAAAAAAAATCCGAGACTTTATTATTGAATCATTGGGAAACAAAAGCATCGTTAAAAATTTCTTTCCAAAGAGAATATTTATACGAGGAGATTCTGAACTTTCGATCGCATATTTTTTACATCAGTTTTTAAACGTGTTCCGGTTCTCCGAGTTCTCTGACAGTTGCGGATTACTTCGGATTACTTAATTGTGGAATTTAGTAACAAATGTGTGTATTTGCGCGTGTCAGACGCACAAATACATTTATGTAAGATTTGTTGTGAAACTCCTGGCTAGAGCGCGGATGTGTGTTACGCGTGTCATAAGCGTGATTAAAAAA